GATACTAACATAGAAGGATTTGGGTTGGAGGGGACTTTAAAGAATCATCTAGTTCCAACACTCCCTGCAACTAGCAGGGAACCTTCCACTAGACCAGGTTACTCAGAGCCTCATTCAGCCTGGTCTTGAACACCTACAGGGATGGGGAGTCCACAACCTTTCTGGGCAACCTGTTCCACTGTCTTTACTCTTCTTGTAAAGAATTTCTTTCTAGTATCTAATCTAAACCTGCTCTCCTTCAGGTTAAGGCCATTTCCCCCCATCCTATCACTACACGCCCTTGTGAAAAGTCCCCCTCCAGCCTTCTTGTCAGCCCTCTTTAGGTACTGGAAGGCTGTCATAAAGTCTCCCCAGAGCCTTCCCTTTTTCAGGCTGATGCTTTTTTTTCCTTTTGAGTGGCAAGTCATTTTCATCAGTGAGAGTTAGAGGATTTCCTTAGCATAATTGTCAGAAGGGAAGCAGATTTAGGTACACCGAAGGTCTGGTCATATTTGAAATGATTTGGGTGCTTCTGATTTTGGACTGGACTCAACACTCCTGTGAAGAGTATGTTTTGTACCTTCTCCTTTTGGGATTTGTTTTCATTATTAAGAGACACAGCAAATGCTAGCATAATACTCACTAAAGGGAAGAGATCTGTTCCTCCACCATGTGAGTGATCCAGCGTTAAAAGAGTAGCTCCAGGTTGAAGGAAGTCAATCAGTTTGGGGTTGATAAGAAGTGAAGGGGCTGATGGTATGTGGGTTATTACTCAACTCTCCTTTGGATGAAAGAAATCAAAAGAGGAAAAATGGGTTCCACTTGGCCTCTTTGATCTTAGAGCAAAAGGAAACCTCACTCACTTAAACTCAATTAAAAAAAAGTCAATTAAATGCTACTCTTCCCTGTTAGCTTACTGTGAACTTGAGCTGGTTTTGAAGCTAACTAACAGCGTGGGCCAGAAGCAGGTCTAGTGAAAGCATGACAGATGTTGAGAAAGTGTCCCCAGAGTAGCTCCTGCAAAACATCTGTAACTATTTCCCTTATAAGACTCCTGCAAAACATCTGTAACTATTTCCCTTATAAGAGACTATTAATATGGGTTTTCTGAGATGAGGGACCAGATTGAAATACAATATTACAATTTATAGTACAATTTATGTACTGTACTGGTATGTTTCCATTATTCATGAGTTGTGCCTGCTAGTCCTCTGCAAGAGACCACTGTAGGAAAACCTCACTAATGCACACACCCCAGACATGCACACGGACACACTCAGTAGCTGTTCTCTCCTTGCTAATCAGCAGACACTGAGGTTGTGGTCCTGCATTCCTTGTGGATTCATATTTCCCAGGCAGACCTCAGTGGAATGGGCAAGAGAAGTTAAATTTTGGTTCTCTGATTTATGATTTCACATAATACAAGAACAAGGGTATTTCAAGGAACAGCAACAGAATTAACTTGAAAAGGAATCATTTCAACGAGGGGGTAATTTACCTGAGGAACTCACTTCCACAGGACAGCATGGGGCCCAGCTAGGAATTAATAAAATAGATCTTTAAAGGACAATGAGAATTACCTGCCACAATATATAATTTTTATATGGGATAAAAACTTAAAGCCATAAATTATGTCTTTAAGTTATAGGCAAGTAAATATTCTATTCAAATTTATATGTTTTTATATGTACAAATAGTTAATGAGGATTATAATAAATCTTCTCCCTTAGGCTTATTGCTTTGTAATTATCCAACATGGGTCTTTCATCTTCATTCAAATCATCTCTAAGTGGCCACGTCAGAGACAGAGTACTGGGTGAGATGGACCACAGGGCAGATCTGCTCTGGCCAATCCTACATTTCCAATTCACTTCATCAGCCTCAGCAGCAGTAAGAGAAGGCACTTACTTCTCATTTACTCTAAGGCTTCCTTTATTGCACTTTTGCCTTGCAGAGAGGCCTGGATTTGTAAGCTTGAATTTATGTTCTATTTAATGCCCTTTTCCATTACCAAAGCAATATAAAGAGAGCTTAAGGGAAAGTGAGAATCAAGCTCAAGGAATGCAGGATATTGCATGCCTCATCAGAAGGATGTGTGCTACAGTCTGTGTTTTCTCATCTGTATCATTTTATCAGTGTTTGGCAGGAACCCTTTAAAGCATACTGAGATGAGATTCGCTAAACCACTGTCAGCAGTGGTTTCCAGATCACTGTGACTGCCATTCTTTCTGCTAAGGAATATTGTAGCAGTACATGAAGGCTGAATATACCTGCAACATTTGGATATTATAGTTGTTTCCAAGTAGCATATAAGTATTTCAAAGATGGGAGGAAACATTACTAAAAAGAATTTAACGTTGTAAAAGACAAAGGGGGTTATGTTTGAGCTCCTAAATTCACAGTGACCTGGCAAGCACTTTCAGCTACATTAGCAGTCATGCTGCACGTTGCTTCATGTTTTATAAAATCAAGTCTCGAAGTTCAACAAAATCAGTTAATATTTCAGGCACTCATTTGTGAAGACCTTGGCCTAAATTCTTTGACAAGTGTTTTAGAATTCAATCTAGTAAGCCCTAGCTTTATTTGAAGAACTTTGTCTATTTATTTTATTCAGTTGGCACCCTTCATTCATTCACTACTGATCTTTAATTCAAATTTATTAGACCTCATAAAAAGTTTGGATTTAAAAGATGATGCTTCTTTGATTTAGGGAAGGATGAAAGCTGAAGGATTAAAATTTGGATAGGATTTTTCTCTCTAAACATGATAGTACTTGGATTTTGGTGGATGTAAACCCTGATTCTTGTTTCCTGTTTACTGGTATATCTCTTCTGGTATCAGAACCATATTCCAGAATATGCTACATCTTGACTATAGTTCACCAGAGTTACAACAGCAAATTAAACAGCTTTTCCCCTACCTCAGATGACAAATGAGCAGCTACATATTTTTAAGCTGGGTAAAATTTTTCACTCGTTCCTCATATGGGATAACACTCTTCTATACTAAAGATCTCAGAAGAAAACAACCTTTCCCCAGAGAAAAGTCTCTAATCCTTTTGTCTAGGTTCACTTTCCCCATTTTTTTCCACACCCTTGTCTCCAGAACTTTTGTTTTCTGCACACAGATTTAGTGTGCCTTTGCATGGCAGATATTAGTTCTCCCTCTCTGTGTCCTGGGCTTTGTCTTTTCACTTCTCGGTTTACATGCTGGCATTGCTTTTTCCAGTATGGTTAAAACAACAATATTTGTTAACTAACTTGTGCTCCTTCTCCAGCCCCTTGAGCTACCCAAACAAATTGGTAACATAGAAAGACGTTACCATAAAAGAGACTCATTTGCTCTGGCACTCACCTCAAAGCCTCTCTTATGCTGCATACTGCAAATGAAAATCAGGGCTTCAGCGTTTAGGATCTGCTGAACAATACCTTGCAGGGCATAGAAAGATTCTTAGACTGAACCACCTGTTAGGTTTTTTTTCCCAAATAAATTGTAATGGAACAGGCACAGAACATATAAATGAAGTTACCTGTATTGAATGACAGACATCTGATAGAGAAGCCGCAGGCGTAAAGAACACACAAAGTTGTATGTGGAGATCTATCAAGTCAACAGTTAGAAGGTTGTCCAGCATAAAAAAATGTCTCATGTGAAATGCTCAGTGTTCACAAGCAAAGTTCTGTAAACTTAAGAAAGCTTAATTTAAATATAAACACAAGTAAAAGCTAAACTAGCAATTTTTCTTTTTTTTTCTTTTTGCATATTTTTGTTAGGTGCTTTTTCTCTGCCTAAAATATGAAGTCCAGAGTGCAGCTGGTGCAAGTCCTCACTATAGGTTTCAAGCAAGACAGTGTCAGACACTGATCCAACTGAACTAAGGACCCACGTACTTTGGGAGTTGGCTTTGGGGGAAAAATTCTTACACAGATACACAGAAGACAACTAGGGAGAACACCAGTTCAAACACAGTAAAACAAAATACAGAACACCGACATATATATGCAGATCAGGAATCAATCTTTCACACTGATCCTACATTCCTTGCATAGCTTGGTATATGCAGAGAATGCGGGATGTGGCCCTTCCATTAGAGATTTTTGCAAATGAAGGGAAGATTATTTGCAATGGTAACATTTTAAGTTATTTTGGCATCAGCACAAATTACCAGGGGCAGGATCAGATTCCCACACAAATATGGAAGCTCTCTAGCGAGCAAGGCAGGGATGAGAGAACAATACAGCAGATTAATTCTTGTCCAGTGACCAAAAAGAAGGGAAATCCTAGTTATTACACACTTCCAAAACTTTCATTACTTTTTCAAATAAGAAGAAAGACTACAGATTATATCATTCCCAAAACCAAGGAAACATTGCTAGAAAAATCTCTTTCTCAAAAGAAACCATCCTTCAGCAGAAATAAATTCTGAGATGGAACCAAAAAAGAAACAATAGAAGCTTGGTAAGAGCCAAAAAGAGAACCATGTAATTAAAAAAACAAAGTAGCAGTTCAAATGATACTGCAGGATGCACAAACACTAGTAGATAATCTCACAGATGACTTCACAGAGCCCCTCATCGACCCAGGTAATTCTTGATTCCATTAGAAAAGAGAGAGAATAATACTAGAAAAGAAAATTAAGAAACATCCTTCCTCTTTTTTAAAATAAAAATCAAGATCATCTCCCCTCCCCCCCTCTATCTGGAAGCAGGTTAGCTAACCTTAACAGTCTCAATTTAAAATAAAATATATATTTTTATATATATTCATATATATAATAAAAGAGAAGATATTAGTGGCAGTGTATGCAAAACAAAAAAGAAAACAAAGAAAAATTACTTTTAACAATCTCACTTTTTTTGTTTTTTTTACACAAATACTGTTGTAAATATATTAAAAAAATCAGCATTCTATCTGGTAAACGTCACTTTTGCCCCTCTATAAAATTTTGAATTAAAAAAGTCCCAAGAACTCTTTTTTTTAAATTATTATTCCCCTCCCCACCCACCCTCTATTCCTCTTTCTTCCACAAGAATAAATCCTGATGCAACTTTTTTTTTTTTTTTGCAAAGATTGTGGGAACTAACCCTTCTCTTGTACCTAGATCCATAGGTTGCAACCTCTGATATCTTTGATTTTCCTCTGTGTTTCTCTTTGCCTTCTGTGAAAGTCCCTCTTGATTGTGCTGAGGCCCTGTGCTCAGCGAAGACACTGAATAAATTACAAAAAGCCACCGTTGCTCTTTGTCTGAATCTTCTTGGTTTCTGCTATAAGGTGGTGGTACGAGAAAAGCAGCGGGGAGGGTGCGCCAGAGAGCGTGGGATGGAGCAGAATCCAGGTGAGGAACCTCTGATTCTTTTTCCTCACCCTGCAGGGACTCCACACTATCCAAGCCACACTGCCTCGCATTCCCCTCAGCCCTTTTGTGTGTTTGTGGATGCGTGTGTGTGTGAAAAAGCAGACTCGTGGTGGAAACCAGCAGGGCCTTGTTTCCTCTGGTTGCTGTTCAACCAGAAGCAAAATATTCCACAGTTCTAACTGGATACTGTGAAGTCCAAAAGCGGTCAGCAATGTGAATCATGTCCATTGAAACACTGCAAGCGGTGTACTTATAATGACAGTAGGCCTTGTAGATTTGTAGTATATTTTGTTTTGTTTGTTTTTTTTGTAGTGCTCTTCACAAGTGAGAAAAAAAGATTTTTTTTTTTATTATTTTTTTGTCTGTTTTTTAATTTTTTTTTGTGGTTTTTTTTTTTGTTGTTTGCTTTTTGTAGTAAAGAAGGGTTGTATTTAGAGGCCAGTAGCTAGAGATCCAACCAGTGGAGCTCATGAAGCACTACCTGGCCTTAAGGCCACCATCCGAGGGAGGCTGGGAAAATTATTATTCACCCAGCCTCCGGAAATGTAATGTACCAGCAGGCAAAAAACAGTTCTTCATGTAGTACAAAAACAACAAAACAAAATGAACCCAAAAAAAGGAGGAAAATAAAGGTAAAAATGAAACAAAAATAATTTCTTAAATTCTAGTGCCATAGCTTTCTTTTTTTTTTTGTTGTTTCTATTTTTGTTGTTCATAACAAAGAGAGAGAGAGAGATTCTACTTATCCGTCTGACACATGCATCCTCATGTGGTCGTTGAAATGCTCGATTTGGTCAAACTTAGCTGGACAGACAGAGCAGACGTACGTGGTCCCCTCCGTGCAGGCCACCACCCCGGCGGGGACAGCCCTCGCGCCGGTGCCGGTGGCTCCAGGCGTGCCGTTGGTGGCACTGTGCAGAGCCACATGCCTCTCCAGCAGGGTCTTGTGGGAGAACTTCTTCTTGCAGATGTAGCACTCGTAGGACTTCTCCCCACGGTGGAGACGCATGTGCACATTAAGGGAGCTCTTCTGGGTGAAGCGCTTGTTGCAGATACTACACTGGTACGCCCTCACGCCGGTGTGCGTCACCATGTGTTTGATTAGGTAATCCTTTAAAGAGAAGGAGCGCCAACAGATGCTGCATTGGTGTGGTTTCTCACCTGTCCATTACCAATGAGAAAGAGAGAGACAGAGAGAGAGAGAGAAAGAAAAACAGACAAAAAAAAGAAGATCGTAAAATTAAACCAGCCCAGTAGAATGGTTGGCAATAAACTAATGGTAAGTCTTATGGGGGTCTTTGAAGAGCTGCTCTGGCTAACAAAGAGTAATTCTGTTAATAAGTGTGTTTTGATACACAACATTTTTTGTAATCACAGGATACAAATGCTTTACAAAGGGGGCTGTAGGTATTCCCAATCCACGTACAGTAAAAAAGAGTTCAGGTGATCTCTTCAAGTTCACATAGTAGGAACTAAGACAGGACTGAAGTTAAAATGTCCTGATATCTACACCCAGTTTCAGTGGCACAGCCTCTTCTGCCCGTGTCCTCACGCTCATTTCTAGACAGGTGTTAGCCAGGTTACTTTACCTTTCAGTGCCTCCATTTCCCTGCATGCAACCTGCATGCAATAAAAGCATGGACAAAGCCAGTGATTACTATATAGCTGACCTGTAACACATTTATTTTGGTCAAATTGCTTTGTATTTCTCAGAAGAGAAATGCCAGAGATTGCCAAAGGAATCCAATGCTTTACAAGAGGTTTACATTTGTTGCCTCCTTTTTTCTGGTCAAATCTCATAGATGAAACATGGATAAGAGTAAATGAAAAGGGAACCTCAGTATACAGAATTGCCTAGGCTGGCCAGCACCATGTGAAGGACAACCTAACAGATAAAATTATAGTGTAAGAGACAGGAATTTAAAATTATTTGACTGCCAATTAAATATAACACCTTATGAGGTAAATCAGAGATAAAATATACTTATGTAATCTACCACATTGCCTTGGATCTCCAGGACTGCTGTAAAACTGATTATGGTAACTTGTATAACTGAACTCTGATCATGAATTCTGACAAACAAGTGACTACAACGATGAACTGGGAAAATTATTCAACTGAGAACATATGATTGCTTTGTTCAGGCTACTCTGAAATCCTCCTCATGCTCAGAGTTCTTCTGGGAAACAATGCCACAGTCTCCTGTTTCATGGTATCAAGCAACGTTTTCATGATATGTTGTTGCATTGATAATGTAGACAATAACTAACACCCTGGATGCCCCATCAAAAGCTACTTTTTAATTTGTTTTCTGAATCGCTTGTGGTATATTTCAGGTTTGGTAATTCATCATCCCCAAAGCTGTTAGGGAGAGAGATAGCTCTGTAACAATCAAAATTATTCTCTGTTTCACTGATTGAAAAAATTATTTTCCTGTGGTTATTCTGCAATTTCCCATCTAGCAGAGATTTTTCTTTCTTTCCACAGATGTCCTGCTTCCTCCTTTTTACAGTCTGTCTGCACTGTTTTAAATCCTGAAGAGCCAATCTTCAGGGACCATGACACGCCTGTGGTAATATATAATTTACTCTTTGTATAGTGAGATTACAATATGCCAGTTATACTCAATTTTAATAGGAGATAATTAATATGGATTGGATGTGAAGGACCTACTTTTTTATCTCTCTGAGTCTCTGTTCCTTTTTATTTCATGGTTTGCATATGTGATGGTGACATCCATGAATGAAATCCACTTGCTGCTCTTCCTTGCACTCATGAGTTTGTCCCTATTTGGTGAAAGACACTTGGTCAAAACACTGAGTCCTTACTTTCCTGATGGCTTTGCCAAACACAGTAGCGAAATGAGTGCAGACAGACCAATTTGCTTGACACGTTATGTGGAAAATGATAGTCTGTCAGTTAGAATAACATCTGATTAACTTTTTTAAGTTAAGAGACCGATTATATTTACAGTGCTCATTTTTGCCTGGGGAAATATATGTCCCAGAGTTTGTAATAAGTTGGTCTCCTCCACTCTAGACCCTGTTAGGACTATGCTATAAAAACACCTTAATTTTTTCCTGCGTATGTTCCTAAGAGACACTGAGTTCTGGCTTTTTAACCTCAGTTTCAAAGCCTTCCTGGGAGTTTTCCTCTCTTAAGAATCTCAAAACTTTTTAGTTGTTGTTTTTTTTTTTTTTGTATGTAAATATATGTGCTTCCTCAGTGAGCACTGTAGATTCTTTATTCCCATGATTCTTCATCTTGAAGCCAGAGAAAACTTTGCTCAGTGAGTTAAATGTGCATGTTCCTCCTTTTGCTTCTTTATTTTGTATTTGGCTGGTATTAGACAGCAATGTGGGGCACTTAGAAACATAGAATCACAGCATATCCTGAGTTGGAAGCAGAAAAAGCAATGTCAGTGCCCGGGCATGGTTCCTTCGGCATGCCTTTTCCAGCTCCAGCCTTCCTGGAGATGTAGCCTCTGTGGCTCTTTGAACCCTAACCCGAACCATAATGGATGCTTGGTCTGACACTGAGGCCACAGAATCCTAGAATATACTGAGTTGGAAGGGATCCACAAGGATCATCAAAGTTCACCTCCTGGGCCTGCACAGGAGCACCCCAACAGTCACACCATGTGCCCAAGAGCATTGTCCAAGCACCTCTCAAATTCTGTCAGGCTGGTGCCATGAGTACTTTGCTGAGGAACTTGTTCCAGTGCCCAATCACCCTGTGGGTGCAGAATCTGTTACTAATATTTAGCCTAAATCTACCCTGAGACAGCTTCATGCCATTCTCTCATGTCCTATCACTGGTCACCAGAGGGAAGAGATCAGTTCCTGCTCTTGCACTTCCCCTCGTGAGGAAGCTGCAGACCACAATGTCTCCTCTCAATCTCCTCTTTAGGCTGAATAAGCCAAATGACCTCAGCTGCTCCTCATATGACTTCCCCTCATCCCATCACCATGGGTGCCCCAGATTATGGTGGTATGGAGGCAGCAGTGTTGGGGCCCTGCACAGACATTGCATCCATTCTAGCACTGCATTTCCACAACACTGTGTGTCTTGGAGAACAGCATTGCAGGATACATTAAGGCCAGTTTGTAGGGAACATGGAAAAATACTCATCGCCAGTATGTTTGCATCCACGTGAAAGAAGAAAAGGAAGTTGGTTTCTGCTGCATGGAAAGCTACATCAGACCGTAGTTTTCGGAGCATAAGAACATACAGAGATTTGAAGACGTTTAGATTGTTGAATTCTGGTTTATGATTAGACTCCTCCATGACTTCTCTTGTGAGCCCTCCAAACAGAAAGACTAATTCAAACATTTTCATGTCCTAAATCTTTCCCTTTTTCTGTGGATCTTTTCCAGAGCCACTTTGCCTGGCTTCTTTGACCAGGGATAGGGAAAATAACCCTGACAGTGGGAACAGCTGTCTGCTCTCCATTTTTGTAATGATCCTGTCCAGCACTAGACAAGGTAGCAGACATCCTATCTCTGAGGCTGCACATACAAAGATTATTTTCAAAAGGGTTTTCTGAAACCCAGTCTTCTGTCGGTTGAGGTGCAATTATTCTCCCAGACATTCCAGGAGCCAGTTTGCTCCTAAATGAATTTTGAAATAGTTTATCTCCCTGAATCTTTCCTTGCCACCAGAGTTTATTATTCTGGGCATTCTCAGACCCATACAAATATAACATTAATTAATGATTAGAGATGCCTACCATTTTTTCTTGGTTGGCATTATGTGTAATAGCTAGGAATGTTTTAAGGTCAGATCTTCCAGTACTACTCTTTATCTGACTCCAAATAAAAAGTGCAGTGCACAGCTTGGGGGTAGGAGAAATAAAGCACCCAAACTCAGTGAAATTATTTGTGAAAATGCCTTTCTAGCTTTTAGAACAAGGATGCAAGGAGATATATTTGAATGTGTTCTGAAGGAGATATTTTTCTGAATAAAACAACACTATGTATGTAATATTTTAGTTATGTGTCCACAACAGAAAAATGAAGAACATAAACAGATACAAAGGGTAATCTCGGGATTCAGGACTCTTGATCCTTGCAATTATTCATTTTGTACCAGTCCTGAAATGTTGATCTTTTTGTATACGTACATGTCTGCCTTAGATGTCTAGAGGAGTTTTTCATTTAAGTGATAAATATAGGTAAATTGAAGTCAAACATTTACATACTCACATGGAATTGAAGTCTATTGCATACAACTGAGAGGCATGACCTACATTCCTCCCATACTTTGGGTAATTTTTCCAGGTTTCAACTCCATGTATCACAAACCCAGCATTTATTTTAAGATCTGATGTTAACAAAACCACCGCTTGGTGAAAGAAATATTTACTCTTTCTCTAAACTAGAATTTCTCTCCAATGTCATAAAGAGCTGAGGGCTAAAGCAAGCAAAATTTAGTCCTGAACTCGTGATAGTTCCTCCATGTAAGATACATATATCTCCTTGCTTTGAAGTCTCTTAACTTGAGAAAGCTAGAAAAGGTAGTTTTGGTTTGGTAGAAAATATGGTTACCTATATTGTCTCAATAGTCCATAAACCATATACTAAAGCAGCTGCATTTTTAAACAAAAAAGGGCTGATGTTGTGTTCTGTTGCGTTTTACATATATTCTTCCAAAATTTTCTCATTGAAACCTATGTTTCTGTACTCACAGCTAGTGAATTATCTGACTTACCAAGAGAGAAGGGATTACAGCAATCAGCTTCAATGTAGTACAGAAAGACCTCTTTCCCTCCTTCCTTACAAAACTCCCAATTTACTTTCTTATAGGAATATGTGAGGTCAAGAAAATATGTGGCAATGTGCGTAACATCCAGGTCTGGACCTACTGCTGCAGCTCCATCAGTAATGACTTTGCCCTAACCTCATGCCAATTATCATCACTTGAGTTTAAACCCCTGTAGCTTTAAAACCTACAGGGGTATGCCCTTTCTTAGTAGATACAGTTTTTCTTATGACTTATTACAGTTCCTCATGCCACTTCCACTTAAGGTTGCCTGGTCACCTTGCAGGATACAACAAATGCTTACCATTTCCTTGGACAGATGCAGGGCACATTTTACTCCAACTAAAATGAGCTTGTTTCTGTACCATGCACAGTTAGGCCCCTGCATGAGATCTGTACGTTTCTGCAGAGGCTCAACTTCAGTGCAGTAAGCCTGGGGAGTGTTCAGTGACACCCTGGATAACCCCTCTCTTCTGTTTGTGTTGGGGGCTGGCATGTTGGCAAACAGACTCTAAGTCCATGGTTGTAAAGGACTTTCTCTGGCTTCATATATAAGCCAAAGGGAAGTACTCTTACCTGTGTGTACAAACATGTGCTTGACATAGTTCTGTTTGGCGGTGAAAGTCTTGTTACAGAGAGTGCACTCGTAAGGCTTTTTTTCGCCTTGCCCACCCGCTGTGCTGTGGCCCGCAGACGGGGCCAAGGGCTGTGGGGCTGGCAGCTGGGCAGTAAAGGTTGACAGGCCAGGCTGGGACACTGTCACAAACTGTGTCTGTTGGCCAGCTAAAGGCTGGGGCAGGCTGAAGAGAAAAGGTTTAGGGCCACTGCCAGCAGACTGTGTGGTGAAAAGGGCAGGCAGGTAGGTGTTGCCAGCTGTGCCAATGACCTGAGTGTTGCTGGTCAGAGTCAGTGGCATTCTCAGATTGCTGGTGAGGGTTTCTGTCTGGCGTAAGTAGATCTGTGTGGTTGGCAATGGTTGGGCAACAGTTGTGTTGACAGAAGGCTGCAAAGCCCCCTTTTCGGTGCTGTTATTGACTGTGAGCACTTTGCTGTCCATTTCAACGTCATTGCTTCTCTCTGGTGAGGAAGAGTTGGCATCTACATGTTGCTGCTGCTGCTGCGGCTGAGTGCCATCAGCAGGGACGTCATTTTGATCTGCTTGAGAAGGTTCTTGCTGCCCATCCCGGCCCAGAGCAGCCATAAACTGCTGCTCCATGGAATCAGGCTCAGTGCCAATGGAGGAACTGACGCCTGAGTCAAAACTCTCCCCTTTGGGCTCACTCTCAGTGCCTTCTGCTTGGTCAGTGTCCTCAGTGCATTCCTCAGACTCATTGCGCTCAAGGATCTGCACCCTCTGTTGGCCATAGTAGTCATAGTCATCCTCCATCTCCTGCTTAATATGGATGTTGCCCATCAGGGTTTGAATTCGGACAGGGCGCGGTTGCTTGCGGCAGTGTGTGGTCTCTGGAGTGGTGGAGAGGTACCGCTCCATCTGTTGTGACCGTTCATGGATCCGGGTAATCCAGCTGGGATCTTCTATGTGATGGTCCCTGGGGAGTCCCAGGGCTGTTTCATGGTGGCTGACCACAGCTCCACTGTAAAAGGAGCGCTCCCCACTGCCATTTTGCATGGAACAGGCATAGAGGGCCGAATAGATCCTGTCCACACTGTGCTGTGAATGGCTCTGCAGGTAGCCAGACTCTGTGTCGGTGCTCTGCCCCGAGGTGCCTGATTCGGGTGTTCCTCTGGGTGTCTCCTGGCCAGAATCCTGAATCACTGGGTAGACCTCTCCCACATTTTGCGAGACAATCCTTGTGCACTCATCGATCACAGTCTTGATCTGCAGGATGCTGGCAGCTGTGAGGATTTGGAGGGCCTCTGACTGTGAGACCCGCAGCACCCCGCTGTACATGAAGTCAATGAGCTTTTGCACAGACTGGACTGACACCACTGAGGGGATCTCGATGTCACTGTAGCCCAGCAGCAATTTGTCCTGGAAAAAGGGGCTGCCAGCCGCCAGCACACAACGGTGGGCGCGTAGCATGCTCCCGTGGATGCGGACCGTCACGTCACAGAAGTGGCCACGGTTGCGCTGCTCGTTGAGGGTCTCGAGCACAGAATTGCTGAAGTTGTGAAGGTTGATGCTATGAATGCGCTCTGTCATCCCCTTGCAACTGATGTTACCTGGAGCAAAGCAGGAGACAAAAAGAAAAAAAAAAAAGAACAGATTGAGTCTTGTCCTCTGCAGGGCCACAGTCAGAGCACTGGCAAAGGTGACTGCCCACTGGGTAAACAAAAGTGACTGCACTGTAAAAAATCACATACAAGGGCATTGGTAAGAAGACACCATTTTTGTAAGGTCAGGAGTAAATTTTGCTACTCATTTGCAGATGCTCAAGTCCTGAATTTTTGGGCAAAAGCAAGTGAAGACAGGTGTAGCTGGGCCTAAATTCCAATTATATTACTGGGCCTATCGGTTTTTCTGGCTTTAAAAAGCTTAGAGCCAGCCAATAATAAACACTGAGCACATGGATTAAAGCTGGATTTTAAACTGTTTGGATGTGGATCCATGCCAGAAGAGATCAGAATCTTACTTTAATGGCCCCAAGTTGTTAATGCAAAGAGTATATATGAAAATGTGATTTCTATCTAGATTGGTATTTTAAGGAATGTGGATCCTATGTTTCACAGTACAGTGAAAAAAAACTGGCAGTTACTTTGTAAAATCCAAATCTGGTTCAAGATTTAGGCTGTAAATGTTCCTAAAATCCCACGCACAGTTTTGTCTGGGTTCTGGTTTAGAACATTCGCTACCCAATAGTGACAAACAGTCCTCTGAAAGAACCCAAAGCAAAAAGTTAACATGAGCTGTCCCCTTAATTTTAAGCATATCCCAAGTTCTGACTTGCAGCAGAATGCCATCATATAAAAACAAATGTTCTCCTGCTGTTATTTACTTGACAGAAACTGGAAAATTACAGACATTTACTCCAAGGAAGATTTTGTCTTAGTTTGGTTGGATAATCTAAATAGAGAACAGTTTAGAAAAGCATCTAACCAAATTGGGTACAGAGCCAATATAATCTTCAAATTTAACTTTTACAAGTGACTGAAAAGTAACTTCTTAATCTCTCTATCCACTGTTTCCTATTTTCGTCTTGCTTCCTTTGGCTTTAATGCTTTTCTATTTCCTTTCCTGTTCTTTACCATTTTTAGTTCTATTCAGATTTTGATGGGCAGAAACTGTTGTTTCACCTTTTAACTCTGAAGAACCAACTGCCTTTGGAATGGTAAACAAATAAAATAGTATAATAATTTTCTTCTCTTCGCATTTGTAGCACATACATCACCTTGGTTCCTAGAAAAGCGTGCAGAGAAAAGTAATGCTAAATCACCACAAGTATTACAGACATTTTAACTTGAATATTCCTACCTAAAGCTACAACCCCTCTTGCCACAATTACTTGTCCATGTGTGAGGATCCAAAAGGAAAATCTGATAAGCAAGCATGAGTAAATTAAACTAGCTTATTGTCACTGTCTAACAGAAATATACAGAGCAAAGAAATAGCATTGATAGCATTGAAAGCAGTGTCTTTTAGCCCAGCAACATCTCTCTAGTCCCTAAGAAGTGCTTTACATCTCATACACGGGCACTAGAACACTATGCACTGCAATTTGCAGGAAAATGTGACATCTTCCCTGTTCTGCCTTTTCCTTCACATTTATTCACTTCTGACATCTCAAGCACCCTCTATTCTGGTGGTTCAAAGAGAAACCATCTTGGACACAGGTGGTTGTTTTAATTCTCTGAAGTAGCTAATGATAAAAGGGAAGCACAAAGGTCAGGAACTGGAAATCATGATGGGGCCTGGCTGTCTGAAGAAGTCTGATGTTAACAGATGTAAACCAACCAGTACCAGAAGGGTACTAATTGCCATGTGTGATTAGCACGCTGCAGGGATGCTCACAGAGCAGAAACAAGGAGGAAACTACTAACAGTATGATGGAGGTTGTGAAATACATCTGTCTTGTTCATAAGCTTAGCCAGGAAACCAGAGTTTCTTCCTCTGATGAGACTGACCATAGGATCGGAAAAACATCTTAGGCATTCAAATACATTGCAACTATTATTACACAAAATAATGTACAGAAGAGATGTATTTCCTCCTCCTTCCAGACAAAGTAATTCTCCAAATGCCTACAGGGCAGTTCAGGATGCTTCCCTTCCCAACATGTCAGATCACACAAGAATCCAAAATGTATTTACATAAAAAGTCGGAATCCTTGGCAAAAGCTTTGTTCTGGTGAAGCAACAGAAGGTGGAAAATTAATGATAAATAGATGACACATCTTTTCAAGACCTACTGTAGGCCACAGCAAATGACTGCACAGCTACCCATTTATCTCTGTCTTGAGTAGTATCAATGACAACTTGATTTGATCCTAGGACTGTCTTTTCACAGAAACATGACTTTATGTTCTGCTTTGTCAAATGAGGTATTTGATAATAAGAAATATGCAGCAGTCCAACTCAATAACCAAAAAACCCTGCTTTCCACAAACATTCACAGTGTGGAATATTCTACACATATCAGAGAGGCTACAGACAGGTCTCTTGATTTGAGAGGTGCAAAGTAATCTACTTTTTCCCTTATGCTCCTTGGCAGATAAAATAATTTTGTGAGTGGAACTCTGAAAAATGCATCCTCAGGACAAGTCCTTTCCAGAAAGGTGTAACATGCATCATGAGACTGGATGACTTCTTGGGAAAGTAAACTCTGCCACTTACCCACAAATTATGTACAGAAAGGAGGAAGGGCAAGGTTCATCTATAAGTTTCAACAGCCCTTCTCAGGTCCTGGCTGTGGGAATCAAGAGTTGCGTAGCCATAGAGTATTCTGTTGTTAGATGGCTTGATGAAATCAGGCAGCTGGGCTTAACCACAGCACAGAAAAGAGGTTTGTTTGCATTGTTGAGAGTGATGTGAATATCTCTCCTCTCTCCTATAGGAGCTGATTTAGGGTGCACCTTGTGGTGTAGGACCTGATCTGAAAACCAACTGAGTCACTTCATAAATGGCATGGAATGCTTTTTGTTGTTCCTGTTAGTAAAAACAGAGTTTGCCCTTAGAAAAAAAAAATCCTTTCCTCCTTTACTTCTTCAAGTGAAATTGGAACAAATACCACTTCTTCACCTGAGAAACAACTGAAATTTACTCCTTAAGGATAAAACAAGAAGGGTGGTGGAAGAAACACACAACAAAATGGAAAAAAAAGGTAATAGAGATTTTGAGGATGATTATTCTAGGCCATCTTCCTTGACATTCAACACTGTAAACTATATCTATCCAAAGTACAGGCAATCAAATAATTTGCAATAGTGTCAGAGACACTACTGCACAAACCACAGCAGTATGAAGAGCAGTTTTAACAAATTCCAGAGATTGGTCTGTAGCAAAACCTGCTGTCCCATTCAGATCCTCTCCCTCTGCAGGAAACTGGGTACAGATTTTTGTGGTTGAAAGCCGAAAGTCCAAAGCTGATGCTTCCCATAAAACGTGGACTTGCCAATGCAGGTTTGATTCTAAGTAAATGCCACATTCTGACAAAGGCTACTAGAGCCTTGGACAAGCCAGAAAGCGTGTCAGCTCTTCACAAGACCCAGCTATACACACGCGCACTCACCTACTCGTCACCGCACAGAATGCCTGGCTCAGGAAAAAGCCTGCTGTCTCGGGCTCTTCTCAGGCCTGCCACTCTTTTAAACTCGAGACAGTGGGAACCTTTCTGCGAAATTCAAGTGGTCTTTGTTAAGTATCCCCCCTTTTTTTTTTTTTTGTCCAGTAAACATGATGTAGAGATCCCAATGGACTTGTTCTGAGAAACTCCTGTAAAATGGTTTTGTCCCCTTTCTGTGAAGCTAGTTCTGATTGGAGGGGTATTCACAAACCATATAGGAAAGAATGGGTGTGAAAATGCAAAGGCCATTCTTACCCAGATGGGCAATGAATAGGCATTTGCAGTTAAAAAAAAAAAAAAAAGGCAGGAAAAAAAAAAAGAAAAGAAAAAAAGCCCAGACAACTGCACAGATTATGCACATTTGAAATCCTCCTGGGATACAATTTGAAGCTGGCATGGCATAAAGGTGAAACATATTACTGTGCAACTTTGAAAAAAGCTTCATTTGCCCGTATGCAAATGTACCGATTAAACTGTCAGGCTATTCACAGAAACATGCATGGAATTCATCCTCAACTAGTAAGAAGGAGCACAACGTGGATGGGAAAGGAAAAAACTTTTGTTGTGTAATACATGACTGAATGCTTAGATTAGTGTTTCCCTGAATCTCATCCACCCCTCCTGCTGACTTTTATGCTATGGGCATTCAAAAGAAAGTAGGTTTTACCATGACAATAACAATGACAACCCCTCCAAGTACAGTACCAAAGAGGAAGGCAATGGCAGAAGGAAACAGCAGGCAGTGGACTCCTGGAAGATGCTATAGAAAATGTGGAAGTGCTGCAGTGAGGTACATCGAGTATGGCCTGAGGCAGCTTTCTATTTGCCAGGGTTGCCATATACAGACCTACATAAACTAGAAAGTTATGGTTTGCAAAGGTGATTTTTTTTTTGCCAAAACCATAAAAAATGACCCCCAGCAAACACATGATGTAGCAGAGCTAAAAAGATGTACAGAATACTGAAGACTGAAGGCCAAACACAAATGACTATGCTGTACATTTTAAAATGCATTGAGAAAGGATTTTTTTGTACAGCCACTAGATGTCCCTTTCTGCAAAGCCAATTGCTGACAGCTTTAATGTTCGTACCTGAAGGATATCAGAGACTTTGATTTTCTCTAGTGTCCTTTAAAATCACAGTATCTCAAAGCTCATTGATGACTACCATTTCTAGAAACACACTGATGATGAATCCACCACAGCTACTGTAACTCAGCAGTAGCTTGGTGCATAGCCTGCATGTGAAGCAAAACTGCCTAGGACACTGGAATCCAAGCTCTTTTTGGAAACTTACTGTGTGTTCTTTCACGGGAATCACTAGCAGAGTGAAACCCAAAGACTCTGTCTTGCTTTCATACTTACAAGGGAAAGAGAATAATCATCTTACACTCTTGAGAACTGGTAGGCTTGGTAAGACATATAGATTAAGTTTTAGCCTCAAT